TAGGGTTTAGGGTTAGGGGTTAGCGTTAGGCTGTAGAATTTAGGCTTAGGGTTAGGGGTTAGCGTTTAGCGTTAGAGTTAGGCGTTAGKGTGTAGAGTTTAGGCTTAGSGTTTAGGGTTAGCGTTAGGGTTAGGGGTTAGGKTTACAGGTTAGGGTTAAGGTTAGAGGTTAGGGTTTAGAGTTTCGGGTCCGGGTTTATCGTTTAGGCTTAGGGTTAGGTTAGCGAAGAGCAGCGGGATCAGCCCAGCAGCCTCCTGGCTCTTCCTTGGCCCTCACAAGCCCCTCGCCCACGGTTTGGCCCTCCCACCGTGGCCGTGGTGAGACTTGGGTGCCTCCGCGGCCTCCCTCCTCGGTGGTTCAGGGGCCTCCCCGCCCGGCGTTACCTTTGACGAGGACGGCGGCCGCGGCGCTCACCACCGACGGGATCCAGCGGCCCTCGACCTCCTCCTCGTAGGCGCAGCTGAAGTTGCCCGTGTGGTTGCGAGTGCTCCGGGGGATGCAGAGGCGCGCGCCGGCCTCCGCCCCGGCCTCCACCTCGGCCCCGTCGCGGTAGAAGCGGAAGCGGCGGCGGGCGGCGCGGCCGGGCGGCGCGCACGTCAGGAGCAGCGGGGAGCCCTCGGCCACGACGCCGCCCGAGACGTTCAGCGTCAGCGTGGGGCGGGCGGGAGGCTCTGGATCGGGGAGAGGAGGACGGAGGTTGAGGGCCTCCTGCTTGGACCGGCCCGTCCGTGGTTACGGAGACCCGGAACGGGAGCGTGGGGGAGCGCGGAGCGAGCGGGACAGGTAGCCCTGCACGTAGTCTGGTTAGCCCTAAACCTAACCCTGGGTTAGGGTTATGGTTAGGGTTTAGGGTGAGGGGTTAGGGTTAGGGCTTATAGTTATGGTTAGGGTTAGGGGTTAGGGTTAGAGTTTAAGGTTAGGGTTAGGGCTTAGGGGTTAGGGTTAGAGTTTAGGGTTAGGGTTAGGGCTTAGGGGTTAGGGTTAGAGTTTAGGGTTAGGGTTAGGGCTTAGGGGTTAGGGTTAGAGCTTAGGGCTTAGGGGTTAGGGTTAGAGTTTAGGGTTATGGTTAGGGGTTAGGCTTAGGGGTTAGGGTTAGAATTTAGGGTTATGGTTAGGGGTTAGGGCTTAGGGGTTAGGGTTAGAGTTTAGGGTTA